AAAAAAAAACTTAAAAGAAAAAAATAACTTTACCTGCCCTAAGATGTCCTCATGAGACCACACCATGTTCACGTGGAAACTCTGAAGCAGAGAGCTGTTTTCAGCATCCTTTGAAAGTGCTGGATGGAGGACCTTCCAACCTGGAAGCCAGAGAACAGTTCTAGGAACTACGATTCACAAATGCCTGGGTCAGGCACCAGGTCAGGTTCTAACAAGAGCTCCATTACTAGGGATGAGCTGAAGCGAAAATATGGACCTGAGTTTCCACATAATGGCATGTCAGCTTCCCAGCAATTTCCTAAGTGAGCTTGCTGAGACTTAAAGTAAAGTGAGTTTCCGGGCGAATGGAACTCACCAAGTTTCCCCTCGTAAAATCGAAGTTTCCCCTCGTAAAATCCGAGTGGAGTTCCTCCACAGCACAGCGAGGTGGTGCCAGTCACGTACCTGCCTGGTGGGAGCTTGCAATCCATGTCTTTGGGAGGTCTCTGATCTCAACCTGGCTAGGAGATGGTCACTCCTTTCCATGGGCTCAGGTGGTCTGTTTTATGCTGAGGCCATCAGCATAAAGGCTGGAGGAAGTGGCCTCCATGGGGTTTTCAGAGAGGGCTATAAGTTCAGGCCTGAGCTGCTGCCTCACTGGGGCGCATTAGGGCCTCCTGCCATCATGGAGCACGATGGTCTCTGCCAGGGGACCGCTCCAACCTACAGGCCTTCTGCGCTCATGGCTGCCGTGTCTCCCAGTTACGAGTGCAGTCAACAAGCTAAGCTTCCTTACTTGTGTCTGCAGGAACTTGCACCGGATGACAAGCAAGCCCCAGAGCAAAGCAATAAGCAATGTAATCCAGTTTACTTCCCAACGACTAACTTAATTCCCTTAAAGCAGAAGTATAAAATGGATCAGTACAAAGTGACAGAATAAGGCACTCCCGGGGACTTGAATCAGCTGGGGTCCAGAGCTGTACCTTCAGCTGAGCCCTGAATTGGAAATGTGCCAAACTACGGCCATCATTGAGAAGCGCCCCCAGCTGCCCTCCATCCCCGCTGCAGGGAACCCATGCAGCTCTCTGCTGGCTGAGGCCTATGCTGAAGACAGGCAAAGCCCGCGCAAGCGCAATGAAGTGCTGCCCTGGTAAGGTCTCCGTGAGGCTCGACTGGGAAAGCTCAGAAGAAAAAAAGAAAAAAGAAAAACATTGCTTGCAAACATAGCGGCCTGCCGGAGAAGAGTCCAGGGTGGGAGCTGGGAAGGTTTCAGACTGGCCTCCCGCCATAATGAGCTGCAGGCCACGACCTGGAGAAGGTGGGGCCACCTCGCACTGCAGTCACACTTCCTCGTGCTGTGCCGTCAGAGCTGAGACTGTTATCCTTTTATGCATCCTGGGGAACCACCAGCACTGCTTTCTTAGATGACAAATATCAATGTCATGTAAGTTTTTCTGATGAGAGACAACTTGGTCATCTGCAGGGGCACAATTCTTCCCTCCCACCAGACTCAGAGTTGGCTTTGGTCAAAACAACTGAGAGGCAGAGTGGCCAGTAAAAACTGCTCCAGAGTGGAAATGAGGAAGTTCGCATCCTACTCCCCAGTCTGCCTCGACCAACTGCATGAAATCGGCCAAGTCATTCTGCCTGTCTGTGCTCAGATGCTTTACCTGCAGTGACTGGGTTAGCGTACACCACCTTTGGATCCCATGACATTGGCTAAAGAGGCCCCTTTGCTGGCAATGTAAAGTATGGAGTCGCCTCTCAGAAAAACTTTAAAAACGAAAGTATAGAGTGAAAATATAGAATCGAAAACAGGAGAGTCATTTCAACTTGAAACTCTCTTAAGAACAGCGGGGTTGGGACCAGCAGTTGATGTAATGGCTATGTCACTGGACTCCCATGTAGCCAACTGTGGTTAGAGTCCTAGACCTGGTGGCTTAAACTCTCGCCGGGTGCGTGTGCGTATGCCCAAGATCCCGAGAAGAGAATGGAGGAGAAGGGATTGCAGTGTGGCCATCCCTCCTTAGGGATAATTTCTGGCTTTCTGTCTCCCCTGTTTCTCTCTGTCTTTCTGGCAAGCGCACATGCCCTATAGCAAAAACCTCTCCAGAAAAAAAAAAAGAACAGCAGGGTTGAGGTTAGCCAGTCAGAGAGGAATAGAAAAGTACAAACTACAAAACAGGAAATCCATTCTTGGCTGGCTATCAAAAAGCCACGAGCTGGTGAAAATTTAGATCCATTTTAATTTGTAATCTCTTACAAAGAATAAAGGCCCCAAATTAGTGAATTACTGAGATTCCTGCTACTCAAACCCCACATCACCGTCCACTGCCCCAGGCTGTCTGATCACTCCTGCTGTGTGTGCTCCTGTTCCTAGGGGTGTCCTCGCATCTCAGCAGCACGTGCTCCTTGTCCCCGTGTCTGTATGCCCTCCCCCTGCCCCCACCGACCCTCCCGGCCGGCCGGCCTTACGCCCTGTGCATACTGACCTAGCTCTTCAAATGACGGATCAGCTCTTGAACTTGCAAAGATACCATTTATACATCTTTGCTTCCTCCAGAGCCTTGGCTATTGTGGACACTCGAGTGGGTCCTGGATGATTAAGAAAAGCACGTACTTGTCTCTCCAGGCATCTACAAGACCACATTTATGTATCCAACCCATATTTAGACTCCGCAATCTTTTCCATTTGTATTATTGATTTTTTTTAAGAGACAGGTATTGCTCTGGCCTTAAACTCATGATCTCCCTGCCTTGAAGTCACTTGATTATAGGCATGTGATACTGCATTGCTGCAGCTCGTTTTTTAAAAAGAGCATGACATGGAGATAGGCAAGTTTATAAAAATATGCTTTACAAACACTGAGCCCAGATTTTCATAGAAAGCAGAAAAATAATTTATTCCAAAAGATAGGAGAAATAAATTCATCCTGAAATATAGTTTGCTATGATTCAGAGGGGACAGAGCTTCCCTCCAAAATGGGGGGAAATCTTCTACTGACAGTCCCCTGGAGGCCACTGTGTCTTGGAGCAGTTTTTAAAAACGTTGCTGATTCCCGTGATGTGAGCAGGCAAGGAGACTTCACCTCTGCAGAGGCCGAGGAGGCAGTGACGTATTTCCCAGAAAGGTGGCGTCTTCTGTCTGAGGAGACTGCACGCACATCACATGGGGCTGGCACAGTGCAGGCGAGGCAGGCACAGAATTCACCCGAGTGTAGAAAAGTGAAGGGAAAAACAGCATGTTGTGGAGTAAGATGTTCAAATGTGACGTGAACGCTTAAGGCAGCTGAAGCTCAAAATAGGCGAGTCAAAGAAGGCGTCAGGGTGGAGGTGATCAGCATGTAGAAGGAATTCTCTTCTTGACCTGTAAAACAGAACTGTTCCAGTAAGGCCCCTGTAGTTTTCTTGGGAGGGAGGAAAGTTAACAGTAACAAAGATAAACAGTTAATATTTGAATATTTAGGTGCTCAGTAAATTCCTGAATGAAAGGTAGGGTCAACTGCCACACAAGTGCGGGCTGGGTTTGCCATGCTGTGGCAAGGAGTTGCGGGACCACAGGCACGGCTGAACTGAGGAGCACAAGTGCCGGCTCGGCCTGTTACAGACAGCGGGAGTGACGCAGGCTGAGCCTGACGGCACCGGGACCGTCCAAGTGTCCTGCAGTCTTAGGAGTACATGTTCCCCCTCCTTTCTTATGGCAAGCAAGCACAGCGACCGCAGGCACAGCGAGCTGCCCACGAGTGTCACTCTCCTAAAGAGCAGGTGCCAATCTTGTCCTCAGTGCTCCAGGCCGCCCTCTGGTTTGCTCGCACTCTTGCTGCCACAGTATAGGAGAAAAGTGGCCTTTTTTTCCAGCCGCGTAAAGCTGCAACAGCACCTCTGCGAAGCTGGTTAGCATTTAGCAGGCAAGTTCGCACATCTGGCCGTTAACAGTGGTCCCAACCTTTTATATAAAGCTATGTTACAACATCTCCACAGACAAAACACACACAGTACTTTCGAAATTAAACAGTAAATACAAAGAAAAGTAAAAAATAAAATGATGTCTGAGGCAGTTTCCAACAAGGCTTGAACTGGCTGATGAGGAATCCAACCGGTTACGACACAGTGTGCCGAGAGAAAACCAGGGAGGGTTAGGTGCAGGGGTGTGCGGGGCAGCAGTGTTGTTAACGTCGAATGAGGGTTGGGCAGGCAGGTCTGACAAGACTGAAGGTCAAACACGGTGTGGAGAGATCTCAGTTCCATGCATAAAACTGTAGGTTCCCAGGCCAGCCCAGAAGTGGACAAGGGTCTACTGCTAAGTCTTACTGGTGGAAGCTGGGACGCAGGTCGGGAGCACAGAGTGAGGCTGCAGGGACGCGGAGGCTGAGGTGTGCTGCAGTGAGGACCACGGCCAACAAGGGTGGCTCAACGGCAGGCTGGGCAGGCTGGCCGAGTGAGACAGTGGCCGACCCTGCAGGCCAGTCATTCTTATCTTCTGCAGCTCGTGGGGACTTCAGTGACCCTGACAGAAAGCCATGTGTGCGCTCGTACCATTTCCATCACATTTCAAGGGCACACACCACTCCAATCAGGAACCTCAGGTTAAAAACAACAGACACCAAGACCCTGCCATAGCCATGATAAACCTCTGGTTTCTGGGGCAAGAAGTGACCAGATCAGGAAGTGCTGTCAGGAGGACGCAGGGCTGGTGTTCTGTGGCCACACAACAGCAGGAACAGGCTGCGAGACCAGGGGTCCGTCGGAATTCAGAGCTGCAGTGACCTGGGTAGAAGTTAGGCTGTCTGAGGGAGACAGAAAGAACAGCAGACCCAGAGAGATAACAAGAGCAACTGCACGTGAGGAAGTGGAGACGGAAGCGACAGGCCAGGCCCTGACTCCGAGTGACGGGAAAAGTGTAATATGGAAACTGCGATGGAGACGTGACTGCCTCTGGACAGCAGCAGGGTCACTAGTCAGAGAGGACAGAGTACAAAACACACTTTTCAACCAGAAAACACCTTGCCCTGTTTGGCATCTTCCGACTATGACTCAATTTCCATCTCCAACAGATGACAAGCCTATCCCTTCAGAGCCACACCCTTCCTTGAAATCCCTAGTTACTATACCCCGCGTGGACACTCAAACATTTTCGGAACGCATAGAAAAACAGCTCCCACAGTGTGGGGCAGAGGCCTACTTCCAATACTCTCTATTCCTCTCCTATCCCACACCTGCTAACAAAACAGGAGTTTTGCCCTTTAGGGTTGAGAGAAACCATGTAAGCTCATCTACCAAAGAACGACAGTAAGTTGTGGTAAAAACCAACTAACTAACAGGACCGTGGGTCTGAAGCCCAACACACTCAAGGCCTTCCCGTGCTTGCACCACACCCTCCGAGGCTGCAGGAAGTGAACATCGACAAATAGCAACCGTGATGCACCAGGCCCACATGCATCCCATGGAGGGATCCTCAGGAATCTAGGGTTCCTAACTCTAGGCTGAAACAGACAAGGCTGGCGGCGGGCAGAGATGGAGCCAGCTCTGGGCTCAGGTACCAGACAAGATTTCCCGCCAATACACATGCAATTACCCACCTCGCATCTGTGATTTGGCTCCTCAATACAGGAAAGAAAGCATGACAGAGTGATGAAAGTAACAAAAGATCAGCTAGGTGTTTATTTATTGCTTTTGTTTTTATTATTTTAAAAATATTTATTTATTTAGGGGGCTGGCAGGTGGCATGGTGGTTAAGGTGCTGGACTCCCACATGGCCAACAGCAGTTCAAGTCCTGGACCTGGAGGCTTGCTTTCCTACTTTCCCTTTGTCTCTCTCTCTCTCTCTGGTCAAAATTTTAAAAAATAAATGAGGGACCAGCAATTAGCATAATGGCTATGTCACTGGACTCCCACGTAGTCAACCGCGGTTCGAGTCCCGGACCCGGTGGCTTAAAACTCACGCCCGGTGTGTGTGCGTGCGTGCCCATGATCCCGAGAGAAGAATGGAGGAGAAGGGATTGTGGCATGGCCATCCCCCTGGGGGGTGATTTCCTGCTTTCTGTCTCTCTGTCTCTGTCTGGCAAGCACATGCACCCTATCTCCAGAAAAAAAAAAAAAGAAGAAAAAACAATGATAATAACAAATACAAATTAAGTAAATGAAGAATTCTTTAAAATAAAAAAATTATTTAATTTCCATTTGTTATTATTATTTATTTAATTTGACGAGAGAGAGAGAAAGGGAAAGGGAAAGCGAGAAAGCAGGAGGTTCACAATTAGGGACTGTCTGGGTGTGCTCTGTTATATCCTGCCAGCTTGCTTTTGAAGAAATGACGTGTAATATAAAGGTTTCAAGCAATCTGAGTTTGTGCTGTGGACCAGAGTCCAGACGTTAGAAACCTGCTGATCAGTCAGGTTAACAGAGACGTGAGACTGTAGACAATGGGAAGGTGGAACCTCTCAGATCCACTCACTTAGTGTTATTCTTTGTCAAAAGGCTCTGTTCTCTTATCATAAGGGAAGGAAATAAAGTTCAGAGAAGTGAAAGGCAATACTGAAACTAGATTCAACGGAGGCCTGAAATATTCAGCTTTAAACCCTAGTAACTCCTTAACCTAACATTCCCTGTAGCTGGGAGGAAGGGTAGGAAGAAGGAGAGTGTGGGCCAGACCCATAGCACAACAGTTTAACATGGTACAGAGAGAGCCAGATTCCATGTGGCTGACCAGGGTTCAAGTAACAGCCACAGTGGCCTTGAAAACACACGGGTGTGTGCGCAGACACACCCATGATCCTGAGTGGATGAAGAGCTGGTGGGAAAAGGAGTGCAGCATGCCCAGGTCCCATTGAGGGCTCTGTCACTCTACTGCATGTGCGTATACCCATGGCTTCTGGCATGAAATCATCATTTGGTAATCTCTACCAAAATGATTAATTTTGGCTATGAATACCAATGGATAAAAATCAATGGATGAAGGGGTCTCAGGGAGCTTTACAATGGAGGAACAAGGCTGTCCTTACTTGAACCCAGATTATCTTAGCATCATGAAAATGGAAAAGCCAGGGCCAGGGCCAGCAGATGGCATGCAGGCTAAGGTAGCTGGATCCCACGTGACAACTGTGTGGTTCAAGTCTTGGATTTGACAGCTTGAAAAGCACGCTGGCACATGTGCATGCATGCCAAGGTCCTGAGAAGAGAATGGAGGAGAAGAAATGTGGCATGGCCATTCCTCCGGGGGTGAGTTGTCACTCGCTCACGCTCTCTCTCCCTGGTGAACACACACTCCCTATAGCAAAGCCAAAAAAAAAAAAGAAAGAAAGAAAGAAAGAAAAGGAAAGAAGAAAAGAAAGGCCCGGGCAAGTTTTGTAGCATAGTGGTTAAGGGAGCTGAATCCCACATGGCTGACTGTGGTTTGAAACTTGGCCCTGATAGTTTGAGAACGTGCTTGTTCATGTGCGTGCATGCCCGAGATCCTGACTAGGAGGGATAGAGGAAAAGATCCCAACTGGAACAAAGAATAGAGGAAAACGACTGTGGTGTGACTAGGCCTCACTAGAAGGTTCTCTTTCTGACAAGTGCATGCACCACCTGACAGTTAAAATAAAGAAACGAAAAGGTCAGGCCTACGTGTCTCCTGATGTCAGGGAATACTCACCCGAGCAGCACACTTGCCAAAAAAGTTGAACCTGAATCTGGTCAAACACTCAGCACTTAACTCCCATTGAACAAAATAACAGAGATAAAGGAACAAATAAATGACAGGTTTCCTGACTCTCGGCCAGTGAATCAATCTTTCCGCTCTACCACTCTTACCTCTGATTCTCAGAGTCTAATAAAAGCTGCAATTTTAAGACCAATTTTCAAAAAGTACCCGCCTCTCTCCATTCAGAAACACTATTAATTTTAAATCTGCCAGCCACTTCTTAAAGTTGCTTATTTTATAATACCTAGAATAGTCACTTTTCTGATCTTGGTCTGAAAGACTGCATTGCAAGCTTATTTTGTAAATCAAAATGTATTAGTATTATTATTATTTTGGAGAGGTTTTTGCTATAGGGTGCGTGAGCTTGCCAGAAAGACAGGGAGAGACAGAGAGACAGAAAGCTAGAAATCACCCCCCCCAAGGGGAGACGAACATGCCGCAATCTCTTCTCTTCCATTCTCCTCTCGGGATCTTGGGCACACACACACACACATACCTGGAGTGAGTTTAAGCCACTGGGTTCAGGACTCGAACCGCAGTTGGCTACATGAGAGTCCAGCGATGTAGCTATTACACCAACTGCTGGTCCTAAAATGTATTTATTTTAAAAGACAGAGTGATGGGAAAAATGAAACGACTCTTATAAGTAAGTCCACATGACTCAGGGAAGGCCAGTGGGAAGCTCAGAGGACTGACATGACATGAAGGTCTGAGTGTGCTCACCTCTGTGCTGGGCACTGGGTACGTGACTTCTTCCTCAAGGCCAATGAAATCGGAGATACCAGATGGTTTCGTTCTTCAGCTGTGGTCCAAAGAGAGGGTTGAGTTGGGCCAGAATTGCAATCAGCCAACTGAAAGAAAGATGGAGGAAAAAAAAAATTAAAAAAAGTGGTGAAGGCCAGTCAATGGCATGGAGGGTAAGGCACTGGATTCTCCCTGGCTGATAGTGTGGTTTGAGTCTTGGACTCAGCAGCTTGAAAAACCACACCCGGCGCATGTGCATATCTGTCCAAAATCCTAAGAGGCAAGTGGAGGAGACAGGACTGCGGTGTGGTCATTTCCTTGGAGAGTTCTTTCTCACTTTCCTTCTTTCTTTCTCTGTCTCTCTTGGTGAGCGCACACACCCTACAGCAAAGGAAAAAAAAGAAAAGAAAAAAAGGCAGTGAAATTGTGTTGGAACACAGCCATGTTTAATCAGATGGAAGAAGTGCACTAGTAAAACAAATCTACTTTGCTCAAGCCAAACCTGCAGTACACGCTGCGCTCACGAGGGCATGACCGACAACATTCTTCCCAGGACACATCCCGCCTTGTCCTGAGACACAGCTGCAAAGCAGCGAGGCTTCCCCCACCCTGTTTAAGCCTTTTTTTCTCATTATCTGATTACCTTTCCAAGTAGCCAAGAATTCCTGAATTAGTGGTAATTTAACCTCAAAGTATTTCCACCAATCTCAACTTACCATCACAACCTGCAGGACCAGGGACAACAGGTCTTATCTTACCCGTTCTCTGAATGTTATAAGCCCCAGGACCTACGTGACACCCACTGTTACTAGTACAGCCAAGATGTGACATCAGCCCATCACCTCTCAAAAAAGAGAAAAAGAAAAAGGAAAAGACAGTGTGCAAATGTCTGGTTATTCAAACATTCCACGCTTTACTTATTAATGAGCACCTGACAGGTTCCAGGCCCCAGGAATGTAACAGAGAAGATGAAATGTCACTGCCCTGGGGCTAGTCCCACAGCCTAGTAGTTAAGGGAGCCGGATCCCACATGGCTGACTGTGGTTTGAATCCTGGCCCTAGCACACTAAAACACATGCCAGGTGTGTGTGTGTGTGTGTGTGTGTAACGAATCTGGAGGAAGGGAGGACAAGAGGACAAGGGATTGTGGACTGACCATGCTTCATTGTGGGGTGCCTTTTCCCTCCCCCCAACTCTTCCCCCTCCTGGTGAGTGGACACGCCCACTAGAAATGGAAAAGAAAAACCCACTATTCTCACAGTGCATACATAACATAACGCTAGGTAAAGTGCTATGAAGGACACGCAGCAGGCAGCAGGAACAGTGTTGGGCAGGTCCTTCTGATAAGGGGTCAGGGAAGGAGGTGACACTTAAGCAGACACCAGGACAAGGCAGAGCAAACACTCCTTTAGTTCCCGTTTCAAATGTGAACTGACTAGAATTGCTCTCGCTTGTGGAAGGTGAGAGGATTATGGCCAGCAAGCCCAACCCACCCACCCACTGCTGCATCTGAGCCACACACACTGATCCCACTAGCCCTCTCTGCATGGGAGTAGGGAGCTGCTTTCTAAGAAAAAGGAGAAGCTATTGCTAAGTATTCTCCTGAACTCGCAGGCTGTCAGACTTCCCTGTGAGGCAGCACTCGCCAAACCCCACTGGGCGCTGTCTGGCTGGGTCTCTCTCCTGTTTGCTGTCACTTTTAGGACTCCTCCAATCAAAGGACTGAAAGGCTGCCTCTGATCACCAATGAGAGACTGCTGGAGGATCAGCCAGCACTGCAGCAAAGGCTTCTGCCTCCAGAAACCTCCAGAAACGCCTGCCCACGCGGCCCCGCCCACAACAGGTGGCTCAGTGACAGGAACCAGCACCTGAGGAAATCAGGCCCGAACAGCGCCCTCGACCTCGAGCTCACTTTACAAACAGAAAGTGAATTCAGATAAGGTTTTCTGATCTGTCCTTAAAAGTAGTCTTAAACACAAACATCAAGACCTGTAGCTGACGTTACAAACAACGAAGGGAAGAACAGCACAGGCGAGGCCCTGTCAAGCTCTGCCACTGCAGCGACACTGTCGACGCAGAGCGTGGAAAAGAACACACGCGGCCAGACCTGCCCAGATCTCCCCAGTCCCAGCAGGGGACACGAGTGCCTGCAGGAAAGGTGGCCTGTCCTCCCGGAAGACACTGAGATAACTGGCCAATCCTCAGAAGTGCTGAATAAAAAACACGCTAGAACCTCGACGAGTCCCTGCCTCCTCTGGTTGCCAAGAATGGCCCAGCAATTCCGAGGATGCTGCGAGGCTTCACGCTGTCCTCACCTGAGGGGGCTTTAGGACAGTGCTGATGCTCTGCTCTGCTCTACGACAACCCTTCATCTGATCCTGGCACAGACGGGCCAAGGGGTCGTCCCACGTCACAGTACTAATTAGACAGCAGCAGGTCCGAGACCAGAAACCAGGTCTGATGAATGTCCCCACTACAAAAAGGGGCCTTCTGAAGCAGAGCATCGGAGGACATTTCAGAAGCATTAACTTAGTGAAGTCTAAACTCAGAATTAAGGAAACGAGAAGCCATTTGCTAAGTCCACCATGAGCCTTTGGTTCCTGCGGTAAGCAGTGAATACTCAGAAACGAGAAAGAAGACCACTTTGCTTGCTTGGGTCAGTATTTAGAAACTATTTTGAATTTAATTTCACACACTATTTTAATGTTTCAACACAAGCAGGAAAAAAAATTCTCATTAAAAAAACAAAAACAAAACAAAACAAAACAGCCACAGTTCAAGAAAATTCCTTGGGAAAGAGCCCAAGCCAGTTCATTTGAAATTTCAGAGGAATTTTCCCTTCTAACCAGCTGAGTTCTGGGCCTGCCCTTCTGACTACCTCCTGGTTTAAAATTTCCCTTTAAAGCTGATAAACATGCAGAGAACTGGAAGGAGAAAAAACTCCACTCTGAATTGATGGAAGTGGGTGGAGGAAGAGATCATATTCCAATGAATCTGTTACTTCATGTACAAGAAAAGAACTAAATGTACCTTTTGTATCTGCCCAAATTGTTCCACATGTCTTCATAACCTGAAGGCCAGCCTAGCAACCAACCTCTGAGCATGAACAAACCACTGAGGTGCTACGGGGTGGCTACAGTGCAGAGCCGGAAGAGACCACAGTTCAAATCCACATTCTACTTTTTAAAGGAAACTGGGACCAACAGATGGCATAATGGTTATGTTGCTGGACTCCCACGTAGTCGATTGAGGTTCAAGTCCTGGACCTGGCTGCTTAAAACTCACAGCGGGGACGTGTGCGTGTGTGCCCAAAATCCTGAGAGGAGGATGGAGAAGGGACTGCAGCATGGCCATCCCCCCACCCCCATGGTGATTTCTTGGTTTCTATCTCTTTGTCTCTTTCTGTCTCTCTGGCAAGCACATGTGTCCTATAGCAAAAATCTTTCTAAAATAACTAACATACAACATACATACATAGAGTCATACATACAAGGAAACCAAGTCCTAGTGAGCATGCCACCCCACTTGGAATCAGTGATCAATGGCAAAGCTGGGACAGGGAATCTTGGACTCTCGGCTCTCATTATGCTAGCCTGGTTTTATTTTGGTTTGTTTTATTTATTTATTTATTGCCATAGGATGTGTGCACTCAATGGGGAGAGACAGAGAAAGGGAAACTGAGAAATGTACCCCCAAGGAGATGGCCACACTGCAATTCCTTCTCTAGTCTCCTCTTTGGGCATGCATGCACACCCAGCGTGATCTTTAAGCTTCTGGGTCTGGAACTCGAACAGCGGTCAGCCAGGTGGGTGGCCAGAGCCTTAACCACCTTGCCACCTACTGGCTTTCGTTTTTAAAAAAATCGTCAGAGGGCATGTGCACTCACCAGAGAGACAATAAAAGAAAGCATCCCTCAGTGGGAGTATGGCTATGCCGAAATGCCGTCTTCTCCATTTCTCCTCCCTGTTGGGGTCTTGGGCATGCCTACCTAAACCCAGAATGTTTGGTTCAAGCCCCTGGGTCACAGATAGGAACAGCATGGTTGGCCATGTGGGATCCATCTCTTCTAACCAGCAGACCACAGGCCGACCCTAAACTAGGCTGTTTCTAAAGGGTACTGGGATAAAGCAAACCGAGCAGCCTAGGAGTTCCTCACTGATGCTGTATTAAATTACCAGCACAGGGTCCGCTCCGGCTCTCAGGATGCAAGGAGGAGTGGATCGTGAGCAAACCCCGAGGGACTCAGGAGCTGCGAGGCACGATCAGGCGGGGCAGCTGTGTGCTGACAGGGACGTGTGCCCATACACTCGCTGCGTGCTCCCCGCCCTCAGGAATGCGGCTCTCGGTTATTAGGGTTCTCCAAACAGAAAACACGCCTTCACCACGGGAAAGGTTATGCCCGGCTCCCTCAGATCCTGCTTTGTCCTTTTGTTCCACACTCAGATATGAGAACAGGGAACAAAGGCCTGGGTTAATTCCTGGGCAAGCACAGATGGCACGGCCTCAGCTTCCCCACTGGAATGGGCACGTAGGCAAGGACCTCCCTCCTGATCCGGTGTCCCTCCAGCCAGGGCTGCGTCAGCAGTGACCTGTCGGTGGTCTCCTCGGGAGACAGCAGAAACACAGTGAATGATCTGTCCTAGCGTCACTACGATGACCTACGATGGGGCTAGCTAGCCACCAGGTGGCGTGGTGGTTGGGTGGCTAAATCCCACACGGCCAACTCCACGGTTCGAGTCCTAAACCTGGCAGCTTGAAAATCATGCCAGACGTGTGTGCGTGCATGCCCATCCCCCAGGGGGAGTGCTCTCATGTCCCTCCCTCTCTGCCTCTATCTCCAATGAGCACATATACCCTATAGCAAAAAACTTAAAAACAAAATGACCTCTCCAAACCTCTCATGCCGACCCATGACACACCAGCAAAGGCAGCAGCAACGCTAGGAGACATGGGACTTGGTGTGACCATTGGAGTTTGCTTGTTTCTGTTTACATTTTTTTTTAGAGGTTTTCACCTTAGGGCGTGTACACTCACCAGAGAAAGAGAAGCAGAGACAGATACAGTGAAAAGAAAAGTGAGAAATCACCCCCAGGGAGGATGGCCACCC